AAAAAAAAACTCAAGTGCGTTCGGAGTTTCCAACAAGAACGATTCACATAATATATACTACAAAAAAAAAGTGAACGAGCGATACATTGGAGGTATATTTTGTTCATTTTAACGTTTATTCAAACCTACATAATTTTGTGATTATGATTTTAACGTTTATTTTGTGATTATTTATTGTTTCCAGCAAGAACAATTCACGTAATATATGTATTTTTTTAGATGGAGTCGAGCATGATGATTTTCACGAATCATGGGGGTGAATGGATCATAAATGATTACGTGAATTATTATCTTTCTAGTGTTTTGGTACGAAAAGATTACAACTTCAACGAACTATGCGGTATATTGTGTGATGGCTAAAGGTGATGTCTCAATCATCTGTCTGAAGGGAGGTTGTCCACCAATGTCCATAGAAGACGATAGCATCGTTAGCTTCTATTCCTTCTTGAATTCCAAAGAAGCTGACTACACGAACTTTTCGATTTTCTTGGAGGTGAAGGCTCACACTATTGCTGAAGATTCCCCACAGAATGAAAGAAAGATATGTCCTATGAATTACGAGTCAAATGTTGCACCTTTGAGTTATCCGGATCTTGACAAGTATCCTGATATCGCAGATGGTAGAAGCTGCAGCATATACGAAAAATATACTTAATTAATATAGACTCTGACAGTGAGTTGGGGTTGACATTCGAACAAAATTTTGACCCTGACATTGTTGCTGGTCATTTTCTAAAGGATAAAAAAGAGTTGCAGACATTGTTGACCATGCATGCTATAAAGCATCACTATCAATTCATGGTGGAGAAGTCTTGATCCAAATAATACTATGTAAGGTGTGTATCGAACGATTGTTCATGGTTTGTGTAAGCATCACTCCTAGGCAAGTCAAACACTTTTAAGATAAGGGGTGTGGAGACTGAACATATATGTGCGTTGTATGTTCGTACAAGTAACCGGAGACAGGTGACCTCAATAGCTGTTAGTAGTTTTATTAAGTCGAAATTCATAAACACGAAGACTGCATATAATCCCATTGATATCATTGACGACATGCAAAATCGTTATGGAATAAACTTGACGTATCGAAAAGCGTGGAGGTCAAAACGGAAAGTTGTTGATGAAGTACGTGGCAAAGTTGATGAATCTTGCAATTATGTCATCAATATCTTTTGAAGGTACGTGCATCAAACCCGGTCAGCATTTTTAAGGTGAGCATCACTTCGGAGAAGAATTTCTTGTACGTTTTCATGTCACTCGGTGCATCATTTAATGAATGGGTCCATTGTCGACCAATTGTTATCTTCGATGGGACATTTTTTAAGTCGGCATATGGAGAACTTTTGTTAACAACATGTTGTCAAGATGCAAATTCTCACATTCTACCGCTTGTATTTAGTGTTGTTGACTCAGAAAATAACCACTCCTACGTCTGGTTTTTCACAAAATTGCAAGTTGTTGTTGGTAAAAGGGAGAGTCTATGCATTGTTTCAGATGGTCATGAAAACATAAAGCACACAGTAGAAAAGGTGATACTATATTTTCAGTGATATTTAAGTTTATTTAATAGTACATATGTTGTGTATTTTTCAGAAGTGTATTGTTCATTTGTTTACACACACATACACACACACACACACACACACACACACACACACACACACACACACACACACACACACACATATATATATATATATATATATATAATCATCTATTATTTATATCGGTATTCCCTAATACGGCGCATTGTCTATGCACCTATCACATCTCAAACAAATTGAATATGCATTATAATACTGAGTCACAGGCAGTAAAGGAGAAAATTTATGCAGCAGCAAGGGACTATACCGTAGAGAAGGTCGATAGGCATATGTCTCAAATAATGAAGTTGAATCCGAGTGTTGTAACATATCTAGAAAATATTGACGTTCACAAGTGGACAAGAGTTCTCTGTCACAATAATAGATACTTTACCATGACATCTAATGCTTCTGAATCAATAAATGTTGTCATACGATTCGTCCATGACCTACCGATAACAACACTACTAGAGGCGCTTAGGGACATGCAACATAGGTGGAATATGGCAAACATAGATGAAGCCAATGGCACTTTTACTCCTCTTGCAAAGAAGCCGCATAATATGATGGAAACTAATTACAAAATAGCAGCAAGATATTCAGCAAGTATTCCCAAAAAAATATAAAAAAAAACTCAGGATTCACAAAAATAATTTCAAGAATGATATAGAAAAAAAAAAGATAATGAAACTTCGTTTGTTGTCCCAACAGTAACATCGGATGGCTTCTGAAAATGCTACATGCATTAAAAAATTAAAAAAGTGTTAATGAATAATTTAATATAATTGTTAACATAAATGAGATATACACAATAAATATTATAATAAAAAATAAAAACCGTCGTTTTTCAGTTAATCTGTGAATAATATCATTGCACATTGCACTTCCACCACGAACTTCACTCGTGTTTCCTTTGTCGATGTGTTGCTCTTTACTTGAACAACCCTAATGTATAATGCTAATGTGATGAGATGACGATAGGTACTCGTATGACAAATAAAACACATATACTGGGAAAGAGACCATAAAATTTAAAAGGAATATGCAAAGATAGATTTAGTTTCATACATGTCAATACATGTGAATAAATGCATAAAACAGGTATACTTTCTAAAACAAATAACATAATAGAAAAAAAAAGAACTATAC